GTGGGAATTGTCCGGCTACACAATGCTATTGAAGGGGGGACTCAACTTTCTAGGGTAAGTTTGTGATTACAGGGAGGGCACCTTTTGGTGATGTGGGTGTCTAAGCCCGTAGACATCTGGAGACAGGCCGGCTTTCCTGGCTGTCCTGTCTTGTGCCCTTTTCAGTGGGCTGCTCACGCCGACAGGGGCACTTCTGGCCATGTCCCTTCTGAGGAAAGGGCTCGCTGATAAGCACTGAATCATTCCTGTGTCACTAATAAAGAAGCAAAAATGGAAAGGACATTTTAGGTCTTAAATGATTGAAAAAAACTTTTTCATTTGTGTCCTGAAACTGCCACAATAGGCTGTTTGCTCTTATTTGAGAGTCTGTACGATGAGAGTCTTCATTTTGGTTTGTGCTTATTCTCAGGCCCTAGAAACTCTGACAGGTGCCTTATTCCAGCGACCCCCACTTATTGCTGCAGTAAAGAGGCAACTCAGAGTGCGGACCATATATGAGAGCAAGATGATCGAGTATGATCCTGAAAGAAGATTAGGTGGGTCATTAGGTCTGTGAGGAACTGAATTGACATTGACCACATGTGGATAGGAACGCGTTCTTGAGAATTAGATTTTCTTGTTAGGAGTAGGTGCCCTTAGTATATGGTATAGTCGGAGCCTGTTTCTATTGTATTTGGTCTTGCTGGCTCAAAGAATAACTCTGGGTTTCTCAGTCAGTGATGTGTTTACTTTGGACAATGTGCTACTTTTGTGTGTGTGTGTGTGTGTCTTAGGAATCTTCTGGGTGAGTTGTGAGGCCGGCACCTATATTCGGACGCTGTGTGTGCACCTTGGTTTGTTATTGGGAGTTGGCGGTCAGATGCAGGAACTTCGGAGGGTTCGTTCTGGAGTCATGAGTGAAAAGGTACACCGTTATGGGGCTAGAAGTTTCAGAGCTGGTACTTAACACCTTCCCGCCCTTGGTGGAATTCCTCACCTGCTTCACATCCTGGAAAAGGCAATTTCCAAAGTGTTGAGTTCAGTTCAGGGCAGCTTCCCTGTTCTGTTAATTAAACTTTGGAACATTGAAACCTGGGCTGTGGGAGATGATTGGATAGAAAGCATTACTCTATTCATTTACTACCTCCCAGCCTACAAAAATGCCTACTTAGATTTCAGTGTATCAGTAGTTACAGATGTGTAGAAGAGAGGTGATTCTGAAGAGACTGAAGACTAATGAGTTTGGACTAAATTCATTCAGGTTTTGGAAGTTTGGGGTCTGTGTATTTCAGAGACAGTGACACTGAATATAGTTTTCATACATGGCTGCTTTTCAGGACCACATGGTGACAATGCATGACGTGCTTGATGCCCAGTGGCTGTATGACAACCACAAGGATGACAGTTACCTGCGGCGAGTTGTTTACCCTTTGGAAAAGCTGTTGACTTCTCATAAAAGGCTGGTTATGAAAGACAGTGCAGTAAGTTCTGGGTTACAAGTTCACATTTGCACAAAATGTGACTCCACAAAGATGAGATACAGTCAGTGTTCTGAAATCCGCATTCTGTGTGAAGAGATGAAACATGATGTGAGCTTATTATTTTCCTTTATTATTACCCAACGTGGGTCTCAAACTCAGAACTCTGAAATCAAGAGTTGCACGCTCCACCGACTGAGCCAGCCAGGTGCCCCACGAGTAGTTCTCTTAATGATGTAATTATGTCCGGGACAAAGGATAGCCGAGTTGAGGGTGTTTGATGCATTTTTTTGTACGTTATCCTTCATAATAAGAAAAAGAAAAATTAGGTATCCTAAACTCTGCCATTATAATAGTTGAAAAAACATAATTGTGTGAAGCAACAACATAAATGTGATGTAGCCTCCTCATGCTGGGGTCAGACTGGTACCCTCTGGGTGAATTTAAGGGGGAGGTGGAGTGTGGTCAGCAAGAGATACAGGTAAGTGAAGACAAGGTGGCACAAGCCATTGAACTCAGGGAGAGGTAGCCTGAACTTGCATGTGATTGGTTCAACAGGCCTCAGTAATCTTGCTTGCTGGTCATTTTGAGAGCCTGTTAGAGGCCCGATCTCCCAAAAAAAGCAAAAACGCTCCTGATTCTGTCAGGGTTTCTCTCATCAGTGATAAAAAAGAGAGGAGTGATTAAGGAAAAGTAAGGCTGGGTTTTTAAGATGAAAATACCTTTAAGTCCAGTGGAGGAATGAGGAGTAGGTATTTAAATTCCCCTTTAACATTTCTGAGTCAGTGTGTATAAGGTGCCTACGCCCATGGTGGAATGCCATTAGCTCCATTTCGCAGGTCCTGTTCCCCACCCTCCAGCCCCGTTCTCCTTTGTGCTGGTGAGGGGGGGAGGGATGGAGGGCAGGGGCTAGTGCAGCAGCTAGGGCTCTCACATGTAGTGCTGTCTCTGCAGGTGAATGCAATCTGCTATGGGGCAAAAATCATGCTTCCAGGTGTTCTCCGATATGAGGATGGCATCGAAGTCAATCAGGAGATCGTGGTCATCACCACCAAAGGGGAAGCAATCTGCATGGGTAAGAGGGGAAGTTGCCCTAGTTCCTTCTGCACCATCACAGCCAGGCTCACTAAGGGCAGGCCCCCAAGTGCTGGCTCCTCAGGTTCATCTAATCCTTGTGTTGTCTGGGGCCTGTTTGGGGACTGTGTTAGATGGGCATAGGTGAGGAGGAGGTAAATGAGGCTTCCCCTTGCCCCAACTGGCTGCTATTAGAGGTCGTGTCTCAGCAGCCCGGCTCCAGTGGGGAGAGGGAAAATCCTTAACGAAGGGAGTAAATGTCTGTGGTAATCGAGATGAAAAGTTTAGCTCATTCCTTGTTTGCCTATAGCAGTTAACTTGTGAACCTTTAGCTACTGTTGGATTGTCCTTAAAACTTCAAATGTTCCATTGCCCTGAAGGGGCTGTGCAAGCTGTTCCCCGTGTGTGGCCTGAGCCCTAAGCCTGGTGAGTGTATCTTTAGGGTGCCTTACTAGAGGTGTTCCCTTCTGGCTGCTATCCATAGATCGCTGCTTGCAACCGAGAAGGGACTCTCATGACCTTCACGTGACATGCTTTCTTTCTGGTGGTGCCAATTAAGCACGTTAAATGAATAGCTCTGATTTACTTATTAAGAGGTCTCCTGAGGCTCTGGGAAGCGTTGATTTTTATGTGGTTAGTGTAAATATTTTAACTGACAATCGTAATATGGTTTCAGAGCTTTTTTCCCATAGCAGTGGATTTTCTCCATATGAACATCCTCAGCAAAGGAAACCTCAAGGCAGTAGAGCTTCGAGTTTTAAATGTTTTTTTTTCTTTGTAAAGATTTTATTTATTTATTTGAAAGAGAGAGAGCACAAGCGGGGTGAGGGGCAGAGGGAGAAGCAGACTTTCCGCTGAGCAGGGAGCCCGATGCGGGGCTCGATCCCAGGACTCCGGGATCATGACCTGAGCCGAAGGCAGACACTTAACCGACTGAGCCACCCAGGTGCCCCTTAAATGTTTGTTTGTTTGTTTTTTTAAGATCTTGAGAGAGAGCGTGCGAACACACGCACAAGTGGGGGGAGGGGCAGAGGGGGAGATAATCTCAAGCAGACGCCACGCTGAACACGGAGCTCGACGCAGGGCTCGATCTCATGACCCTAAGATCATGACTTGAGCCGAAATCAAGAGTTGGATGCTTAAGCGACTGAGCCACCCAGGTGCCCCTAAAATGGGGTTTTAAAATTTATATAAAACAGTGGAATTAGGGCTCATAATAACGAAGTTTCTCTCTTCCAAGTCATTCTTTAATCTCTTTCTAACACCTGCAGCTATTGCATTAATGACCACGGCAGTGATATCTACCTGTGACCATGGTATTGTAGCCAAGATCAAGAGAGTAATCATGGAGAGAGACACTTACCCTCGGAAGTGGGGTTTAGGTCCAAAGGTAAGTGGGAGCAGGTGTGTGCTCTGCTGTGAGTTAACTCTTCATTTTTGTGTTGTTGAATACTCCTTGGGTGGCTCTCAGCTATGTCCCTACCACCACAACCTTGCCGTGTACCTGGGCTCTGGGGAGTGATGGTGAGTAGAAATGGGACCATCTCAGAGTTTAGAGATTTTAGTCTAATGGGGAGAAGCAGACGGGCGTCACTCATACTGCACAACGAAAGCCAAGTTGAAGGGATATCAAGGAGTATAGAGAGGTGCCTGGCATCTCGGGAGTTCAAAATGAGGGGTTTGACTTGGCTGGGGGGTCTGGGTGAGGGATCTTCGCTGGAGCCAGGCTAGCACAAAGGACACAGTGTTATGTATTGATGAAGTGAAGAAAGGAAGGGAGAGTCTGGGGAAGCGGGAATCGCATGTGCTGCAAAGGCCCTGTGGTGGAAGAATGGGGTGGGTGGGGGTGCCACAAAATGACATTTTGGAGGTTCTGACTGATAAAGAAGGCTTGATGACTTTTGACAAGTCCCATGTTTGCTCCTGTTGGAGAGCGTGAGTTCTGAGTGCTTTGCAGAGAAGTGTGAGGCCCAGCTGAGAACACACAAGGGAGGAGCCTTACTTGAGCCACCATAATACCTGCTTCATGTGTCACACTGTTCTAATGCTGAAATCCTGACGATCCACCAGGCAAGTCAGAAGAGGCTGATGATCAAGCAGGGTCTTCTGGATAAGCACGGCAAGCCCACAGACAGCACGCCTGCTACCTGGATGCAGGAGTATGTGGACTACAGGTGAGGGCAGGGTGTTTCAGAGCCCCAGGCGGGCAGAGGCGGCACGCTGGCTGCCTGGATGCAGGAGTGCATCCACTACAGGTGAGGACGGGAGGCTGTAGAGCTCAGAGGGGTAGATGCAGCATGGCGGCTGCCTACATGAGCCAAGGCAGGCGGTCACGGAACCTGGGTATGGGGAGCGGGGCAGATTTAGTTCTGGGGAGAGCTGCTAACATGGGGGACTCTAGGAACCTGCGTGGTGCTCACGAGACCTTGGGGGCTGTAGGGACTTGCCCCTTGACTGCTCAGGCCTGCTCAGCAGACAGTTATCCCTTTCTAGTCTGGCTCGTGGGACTCTAGAGGGAGTCAGTCTGCAACAGTAAGTGGTGAGTTCTTCTGTCTGTCGTCAGTATTTTGATGGTGGCTTTAGACTTGCCAGATATCACTGGTTGAGGAGGCAGCACTACCTCCCTGGAAAGCCGTTCAGTGCCTCTCACCAATTGCTGTCTGTCTTCCAGTGACTCTGCTAAAAGAGAGGTGGGGGCCAAAGCAGTGAGAGACCCACAGGAAGTTGCCGAAGTGGTAAAAGCCCCAAAAGTAGTTGCCGAAGTGGTAAAAGCCCCAAAGGTGAGTGACATGCTGTGAGCAGTTGGGAGTGTGCTTTGGGAGATGGTTGCATTTGGCTTATCTCGATGGTTGCGGTCTAGGCACGGGTCGTGGCTCAGTACGGCAAGGCTTCTTGGGGGCGTGATGCGGTGTGGGCTCCAATTCACATTCCCTGTTGTGTCTGCTGGGAGGATTGTGCGCTCAAATCAGGGGCCTCGGCTTCCACCGCACTGAGGCGACGGCACTGGGTCACAGTGGAGGTGTGTGTGATTCTGGCTCCGGGGCAGATGAGCCGTACAAAACTCAGCGGGGAGCAGAATCACCAGAGGCTGACAACCTCTGGATCGCCTTAGCTTGTCAGGGTTGGGGGGACCACTGGCATGAGAGCACAGAATGGGTGCGCTGAGTGAGCAGGGAAGAGCTTCTGGCACGCATGGGGCCTGTCACAACTCCTGGGTTGCCCGCCGCCTTTGAAGACCTGCAGTCCAACTTGTCACAGCCCCTGAGCTTTGGTGCTCCGGCTGTGCGCATGGGGATGAGACCGTGTTTGAATTCTCTGTAAATTAAGGTTCTGTTGGGGTTTGTAATTAGAAAACTTACTCTTGGATTTAGTCAGGAACTTTTCTGGTGACTCCCCACCTTCTTACTGAACGTTTCTCATCCATTTTTGCCCAAGGTCTAATATTTGATCGCTTGTCTCCACCTTAGCGGAAGCGAGAGAGTGAAAGTGACGAGACCTCTCCACAGCTGGTCAAGAAGGAAAAGAAGAAGAAGAAGGATAAAAAGGCCAAAGCTGCGCTAGAGAGCGGGGGCGATCCAGGAGATGGGGTATGTACTTGAAGGGGGAGCAGCAGCGTTTCCTAGTAACTGCTCATAGTTGGAATGCTGCTGATGGTGAGGGGGAAATCTGAATGGTCCTGTCCGTAAAAGTAGACCGCTGGGGCATCACTAAAAAGCTCAGGGCTTGTGTTCTGTGCAAAATTTATTTAATCCAGAATATCCTCCCAGATCCTGAAAAGGCTTATTGGGCTCTTGGAACTTCCCTCATTTGGTTGTTAACAGATGCAGTGAGGCTTTCTCTTTCTCCCAGGACAGTGACAGTACCAAGAAGAAGAAGAAGAAGAAGAAAATAAAAGTGGAAGTGGTTTCTGAGTAGTGGACACCACTTTGAGCACTGTGTCCAGGTGGGAGGAGAAATTAAAGCCTTATTGAGAAAACAGAATTCCTTTTGTTCTTGAGGGAATGGAACATAGGTCCCAGAAAGGGTGGAGAGTTCCGGCACATTTTAGCTGCTACGTGAGAACTCAGTGACGTTCCTTGGTGTGGTCATCCCATCCTGTCCTGTTTTAAGGATATGGGTGAAGGAGGCAGGTTTGATGGCACCCACTTGTCTGCTTGGGAGAGTTGGGAATTCTCTCCTTCAGACCCAGCACAGCCCAGGAGCCATCTGCGGCTGGTGCCCTATGGCTGTTTTATCAGCATAGCTCTCTCCTGGTTTGCACCACCCCTCAACCCATTTTAAACGTTTCTAAACATTGCTCAGTGAAATGGTGTAGATCAAGTAAAAGAAGAGAACTGAACCACATTGTTCACTGGGGGGATAAATCTTTTCTCCCATGTCCTGTGAGGACAGTGGTCTGTCAGCTACATCCACTCCATCTCTGGCTTAGCGGTCCTTTCTGTACTCCTTCATAGCCTGTGTGTACAGCCTAATGCACCTGAATCCATCTGCCTACTTGTGTTTGTGACAGAAGCTAAAATACTGTTCCATATTCTCTCTTAATTTTCCTTTACTTTCAAAGGATGCACTCACTCACTGCTGGGAGAAGGTTGTACTTTTTACTTATTAAAGTTTATTTGTTTTTAAGTATTTCTGTTGGGTTTTCTAATTGTTGGGGATGTCAAACTAGTAGAACAAAAGATAGAAACTATTTTAATTAAAAATCTAGGAAACTTTATGTCCTGTTTGGAATTTGATGTTTTCCTTTGGTTATTTTCTCTGGTTCTATGTCGTGCAACATTCATCTTGGGGCCTATTATCTGGTATGGGACCAAATACTCTAGAATCTTCATTCAGGACATTGACTAGATAAAAAGGGGAATCATCACAAATCTAGTGATCTCCCCCAACAGTCGAGGGGAGGAAGGTAGAAGTATTTATGTAGTGGGTCTGGCAGGAGGTACCAGTGTGTGTGGGGAGGGATTCTGAGCATAGGCCTGAGGCTGGGTTTCCCTCTCCTGGAAGGGAGGTCAGAATGAAAGCCTCTGGCAAGTCAAAGCAGGAACCTGCATGTGTGCACCTGATGGGTTCTCGTCCAGGATTAGAGCATCCTGTGTGCATGTCTATGTGGGCACCAGCCTCAGAAGACTTGGGGTGGGGGGGTTTTGAGGGCATGGGTGTTTATAATCTCAGCAGCTAGCTGCTGTGTGAGCAACGGAGTGGAGTAATTCCCTTTGGATACAGATTAATTTGGGCAGCCAGTCGTGGGGTGCTCTGGAAACCAGGTCTTGAGAATGAAGAGAAAGCTGAAAGGAATGGCTGCCAGGAGGAAAATGGGGGAGATACAAGCGGAAGCAAAGCATTCAGAGCACTCTCCCCATGGAGTAGAAATGGGATGATCATCACACCTTTGCTCCCAAACTTGTCTTATAGGTTACACGTCTGTGTGTGTTCAGGTCCACACGTAATGTACCAGATCGTGCCCTGCCCAGCACACACCCCCCTCATGGGAGGGTGGGTTATCTTGACCTGTGTGTGCTTGAGGGAGACTTCTGAACCCAGGAGAGGCAACTGGTATTGATGCTGTCCTAAGGGGTTGACAGGTGCTGCCATTTCCCTCTCCAGAGACTCGTGCAGGTGGAAACCCAGAGAGTTACAAGGTATTGGCATTTCAACACAGCAACGTTTTTATTGCTTTTGAGGGTCTCCCTAGAGCAGACATTCTATTGCACAGCCGCTTCATTTTGGCATTTTAGAAAGTTGAGGTTACAAATAGCTTCAAAGACACATGAGATGCCCAGTGTAATTAAAGGTGAAGGAGCATGGGCTTTAAAGAACAAGGGCCATTGCCTTTTCCTCTCTGTGTGCACCATCTTTGATTAGCAGTTGCATTTTGATAGTACTTTGGGCCTCAGATTTCCAGAGATCCTTCTGAAACCCTGATCAGTGGGGCTCCATCTATCAGGAAAATCGGAGCCCAGCCAAGGAACTTGAACAAGACTGACACCCACTGGCCTAATTAGGATAGATGCAGAGCACTGGAAGCTGACAAACTAGGTGGAGTGTCCCTGTTTGTCTTAAAGCAAGGAGAATGGAATTCAAACTGCTAGAGAAAGGCGTAGAGTAGCTGCCCCTTTTCTGCAAGCTTAGTAAACCCAGGAGACAGGCACCCACTGTGGAGAACTGCATGCCTGGTCAAAGGCTTCTTGCAGTTTCTTAAGGGTTTCGTCAATGCCATTATTGACCAGTGAGAGGTCAAAGTAGTGTGCGTACTGGCTGCGGATGGCTTCGGAGTCCTTTTGCAGCTGCTGCAGGGCTTCCGTCTGCAAAGAAAAGAGAAGCGTGGATGAGGCAGGCCCCACAGCACGGCAGCCCGAGAGGTCAGTGATGGGCTTTAAGTGGACCCTGATTGTGGTGACCACTGCCTGGCTCAGAGTCACCTGCTTAAATGACTCCAGCCCTGAAGACCTTCCTTGAGAATGTTTAATAGAGTTGGGTGTAGAGAGAGACTCGAGCACCGCAATTCTAGAGGATCTCAAACTAACCCTGATGATAAATCATCAGAGCTCAGAAGACCAACAGCTCCGTTGCTGTGGCATGGACGTGAGCAACATCTCCCCACTGCTGCAACCACCACAGCTGCAATCCTGGGACAGGTCTGAGGTTGACTTACAATCCCAGGCCTCTTTCTAGAATCCCAAACAAGTGGCTATGAAAAGACTGATTACTCCGTAAAAGTAAAAATGTTTGCACAGCAATAAGTGCCAAAAGACATGCCAAACTTGGAAAAAGATGTTTACAACTGGTGTCACAAAGGGCTAATTACCCGAATACAGAGCTAGAAAGCAGTAAGAAAAAGGCCAATAACCCAAGAGAAAAATAAGCTAAGGACAGGACCAGGCAGTTTGCAGAAAAGATACAAGTAGCCCTCAATAGTCTGATAAGACACGCAGCCACTTAACTAAGAAAAGTACAGCGAGACTATATTTTTCTAGTAGATTGGTCAACAAATGAAACTTTGGATAACATGCTCCTGGCACAGGGAAACAAGCAATCTCCATTCCCACCGCAAGCATCCTGGGACCTGGCAGTCCTGCCTCCTGGGGTTTCTCCTACAGATCGAGCTGCACATACGTGAAGCGCCACGTGCACAGGCCACGGAGTGCGGCCGTGTCTGTGACGGTCGGAAGGAAACCACCCTGCCGGTGTGCACAGTGGAGGCCGCGCAGCAACTTCTCTGTTGCATTTGGTGAAAGCAGGTGCAGGAACTCGGGTGGTGAGCGGGGAGCGGCTTTTCAGTGTATCCCTGGTCCCCTAGCTCTTCCCCTCTCCCCACAGCCACACCACACCCCTGGCGGTGGGTGTGGTGGGTTCAGTGCCGCCTCTGTCCTTCCCACTTGAGCCCACGTCGCAGCAGTGTCAGGATCTGCCAAATTGCCCATCTCTGCCACCGGACCCCAAGCACTTCTGGAACTATGACGGTCTCTGATTTATTTTGTCCCCGTTACCTAGTGGTTTAATAAATGTCTGCTGAGTAAATCAAATGTGCCCATGCCCTTTGGCTTCTTGGCCTTGCAGGAAGAAGGACAGCAGTAGCCAGGAGGCTCATGGGAGATACGGGCACAAGCTGAGCTCTGGACTGATGTCCCAGTCCGGGCAAACCTGGAGAATGAACCTCCATCCACCCTGTGTAACCCCGTCCTTCCCACCTGAGCGCCCTGGTCAGTAGGTGCGATGAACACAATGAAAGGTGACAGTTCGGCCGTGCGGACAATCTTCAGGGTCTAGAGAAAGAGGAAGGGGAGGAAGGAAGAAAAGAACCAGAGTCAGCTATCATGATGGCTTCCTTCTAATACATATCTTTGAGCATCACCAAGCCCAGTATCATTTCCATCACTTCTGGTACAACTATTGTGGTTTTAGGTGACCCCAGTGAAACTACGTGAACCAAACCTCATCCATGCCTGCCTTGTCAGGCCTACCCACCTGGGGCTCAATGTCAAGGATGGCAATCTTGTCCTGCTCATGAATCTGGTGCACGGTTTCAAATTTGGTGCCAAACATATTGCCCTGGTAGCTGCCAAACTCCAGGAATTCATTGGCAGAGATGTTCCTGGTCATCTCTTCGGTGGAGATGAAGTGGTACTCCTTCCCGTCTTCCTCACTCTTCTTGGGTGGCCGTGTTGTATCTGCACAAGAACCCAAATCCCTGACAAAACTGGGGGTCCTCACCATCTCCTAGGGGCTTGGCCCATGGTATCTGTATGTAAATCCCAGCTGCCTTTGGTGCAGAGAGTTTAATAGGGGAGTTTCTCCCACAGGATCCCGAAGGGCTGACAATAGATGATGCAGAGCAGGAAATGCCCTGTCCATCCAGAATGTGTTTAACTTTCAAGAGGCAAAGCCCAACGTAGAAAATTCCTATCCCTTTCCCTATATGAAGTTACATCTCTTAAATCACCAACCCCAGGAATTAGAGCTCAGAATTGGAGAAATGACAGCTGATTATGTATATATTTCAAAGATTTGATTTGTTAGAGCACAAGCAGGGAGAGCGGCAGGCAGAGGGAGAGGGAGAAGCAGGCTCCCCTATGAGCAAGGAAGCTGACAGAGCTCCATCCCAGGACCCTGGGATCATGACCCGAGCCGAAGGCAGATGCCCAGCTGACTGAGCCACCCAGGCACCCCTGATTATATTTTTTAAACAGATCTATGGGCTATGGTTTGGATTTCTTGAAAGGGTATGTAAAATTTCCTTTTTATAGCTTAGAAAGAAGAGTACTCTGGTTTGGTTTAAACTCATTTTGTTAAATGTTGGAATATTCTTAAGTCACAACATTTACTATCATTCATATAAACTGTCCTCTAAAATGTGCTCCAAAAAATAAATAAATAAAAAATAAAACGTGCTCCAGAAATCACAGCTTGAAACATAACCCCTCACACTCCTCCCCAGTGGACCTCTCCTGCATCCCATGTTTATCGAGCCCCCTATCCCCTTGTCTTGTGCATCCTCTGCTTGTCTCTCAATCCACAACTGCACATGCCTCTCTCTCTTCCCATCTTACAAAACAACAACTCTTCTTTAGTGGCTATTTCTACTTTCGAATTTCCCCACTCATTCCTCAACCCAGGGCCATCTGCTTTCTCCCCCTAGTTGGGTGTCACTTATCCCTAAAGGCAAAATGTAGAAGCAAGGAGTAAAAAAATACTAATACCAGATTCAGAATCCAGTTTTCTACTTTGATAAGCAGGATCTCTTCCTGGGAATATACACAATCATACTATGCAGATTCACTTCTGGGAATGCAGTCATCTGATTCCCTACCTGGCCACTGGCCTGATTGTTCTATTGAGAAGAATCCTACTGCCGAGACTGTGCCTTTCCTGAGCGCTGCTTTGATTCAGAAGACATTTCAGGAAAATTAGAGGCAGCAATAGTGGATAGCTAAGGAAATTACAGTATAGCCACTCAACGGACTGAGATTTAGGCACATGAGAAAATATAAAGATGAAAAAAGTAATTTTTTAAAGATTTTATTTGTAAGTAACATCTCCACCCAACGTAGGGCTTGAATCCCCAACCCAAAGATCAGGAGTTGTACGCTCCACCAACTGAGCCAGCCAGGCGCCCCGGTCATATATGTTTTCAGTAATATTACTTGCTTATTTAAAGCAGCATAAAAGTATTTTCAACTGCTTCTGTTATGCAGGCATACAACACAGAGAAGAATAGCAACATAGTTAGCTGGAGCGATTATATGTACACATTTGCATCTTTCCAAATTGTGTTTTGTTTTTATAATCAAACATTTCAAATAAAGTCACACATAGAAAAGACCACTTTGGTATCTCAGAGTGGTGCTCCCACCTGTCCTCCAAGGACCGCAGAGATACTTACATGGGGCAGGGTATGCGAACTTGTCCGGGTCCTGGCTGAGTAGGGCATTCTTAATGTGGCTGCGACCCACCCCACTGGCTCCTGGGGAGGGAGAAAAGACAGAAACCAGGTTGCTATTATTCTCATGAAGGCTTCCATTTCTTTCCCCAAAGACAAAGGTGGGGATAGGTTTAGAAATGGGACGTGGGTGAGAGTGAGTGAGCAGGTGTGGCTTCCAGACTGGGGTCAGGGAGTGGCAAAGGCCCCCACTGGGAGACAAGGCTCCAAGGGCTAAGGGTCAGGACTCAGAACATAACTGTTGTTTCCAAAGAGGAGCCAGCTGACACATGGGTTTTCTATTTCTTTTCTAAAGAGATTTGCTTTACTGAGCTCTCCAAAATTAATGGAACTGATCTATTTTTTCAATATATATTTTTTTAAGATTTTATTTATTTGACAGACACAGCGAGAGAGGGAACACAAGCAGGGGGAGTAGGAGAGGGAGAAGCAGGCTTCCCGCCGAGCAGGGAGCCCAATGCGGGGCTTGATCCCAGGACCCTGGGATCACGACCTGAGCCGAAGGCAGACGCTTAACCGACTGAGTCACCCAGGTGTCCCCCCCCCTTTTTTAATCATTTCTTTAAAGATTTTATGGAACTGATTTTTTTAAAGATTTTATTTATTTGACAGAGAAAGAGAGAGCACACGCAGGGGGAGGGGCAGAGGGCTTCCTGCGGAGCAGGGAGCCCGATGCGGGGCTCGATTCCAGGACCCTGGGATCATGACCTCAGCCGAAGGGAGATGCTTCACCCACTGAGCCACCCAGGCGTCCCAGTGGAATTGAATTTAAAGCAGTGTTTTTACTGGAAATTTCTCCAGAACCCTAATAATTTCCTCTAAGCAACTAATGTTTTAACTCTAAAGACGAGGTGGTGAGCTGCCCACCTAAAATAACTAGTTGCTGAAAAACTTGTAAGGTTTAGTTGCATTTGTAAGGTAAATCCAGATGGAACACCTGTAAGGATTCAGAGAACCCCAGAGACTGTCCTCACTGCGTTTTTTTTTTTTTTTTTGAGGCAGGGAGGGAGAGGGGGCATCATACGCAACATGGGGAGGGGGGCGGGCACCAAGAAGTTACCGATCAGCACCAGGGTCTTCCTCTTGAATGCAGGGAGCCGAACAACTTCCTCATAGGAAACAACATCCAACTGGTCAAAAACTAGGGACAAAGAAAACCAAGCCATGTTCATTTCCACAGCTGGGAAGAACGTGGTCCAGGGGGTGAGGCAGGAAAGAGCCGAAAGTCTGTCAGCCTGGCGTGAAGGCAGCTGAGGCTGGGGAGAAAGGACTTGGGCCTGGAGTCACTGAAGTGACGTGATTGTATTTTGGTTTCAGAAGACGAACTCTGGTAGACGAAAGGCTACAGGGGCTGGGATGGAAGCAGTGAGACCCTTAACTGCCCCACCGCTCTTTTCAGCCAACCAGACTTCATCTAACCTTACCAGAGGATGATGGGGGCTGGGACACTGCCCAGCACGACCACAGTCGCCAGTGACGGAATGATGGACAGGGCATCCCGAGTACACCACTTCTGGACCATGGATGCCTTTCCTTTGGGTCTATTTCTTGCTTTTCCCAGCCTCCTCCATCTGAACTCATCATGATTCTGTCAGTGAATTCCTTGGACTCACATTCTTTCTAATTTTCTGGACCCCATATTCTCCTTTTTCCTCTCTCTTCTCCATAGTTTCAGTAACATCACGCTGCCCTGCACTCCAGTCCCCCCTGGGGAGGGTGAGCTGAATGGGAGATTATTCAGCTGTTACCTACAGTCTGCTTGAATCCATTTATAATTTTAGTATATTATATTACCTACCACAGTAGGTAAAAAACAAAACCAAAATGAGTTCTCAGGAAAACACGCTGTTTTCTGGGGTTGCTCAGACCATGAGCTGGTCATGCTGAGAAAGGTCTGGAAGGCTGTTCGGTTGGTTACCTGAGGAGTGAGGATAATGAGCGGGTGTGAGCAGACCACTAGCTTTCCTTCACATGTACTGGGAAGATGAATGTTGTAATAAAAGAAAACCAGAAGAAATGGCATGCTTCCTGTGTAACGTATGGTCCACCATGCACGACACCATCTCCCTTTAGCCGGCAGAGAGGAAGCCCAGGAAGCTTACTTGAGCTGTGCTTAGCCAGATACTTGTCTTTGTATTTCTTCTTCTTCCCAAACGGACTGCAGCTGGGGGCTTCACTTGGAGCAGACTGAGCCACACTAGCCACTCGCCTGGCAGGAAAAGATGACCCAGAATGTCAGGGGAACCTCAGCATAAAAGCCCCAGGGTCACCCTTCCCCTTCTCCACCAAACCTCCAGACCAGGGACACGTGGCTGGTTCAGTCGGTAGAGCCTGCGACTCTTGATCTCAGGGCTGTAAGTTCAAGCCCCACGGTAGGTGTAGAGATCACTTAATAATAAAATCTTGAAAAAAAAAAAAAAAAGACAACTTCCAGACCAATCTGCTAAAAACTTTGTGCTATCCTTGACCCTCTCATCCTCACCCCTCTCAGTCCTCACTCTCACTCTGAGGCCCCTCCTTGGTCTCTCAGCCTGTCCCTCTCTCCCTCCCTACTTCCCCCATTTCTCTGTGTGTCTGTCTCTCTCGCAGCCTCTGTGTGGATCTCTCATTCTCTCTCCAGTCTCTGTGTCTCTCTCATATTCCCCCCTCAGTCTCTTGCTCTCTGTGTCTCTGCCAGGACCCCCTCAGCTGCCCTCTCTCCCTCCCACTCTCCCACCCCCACGCCCTTCTCTGTGAGCTCTGGGTCTGTGATGAGCAGGGTTTAGACTGGTATGGAGGAGACAACGGGCACACAAAGAAACAAGTGGAAGAAGCCCAGCTGGAATGGTCAGGCTGCACTGAGGGGAGGATGTGATGGCGGGGGGGAGGGGGGGTGTCACTTCGCCTGGACACATTTCCAATGCCAGGTATTTGGAGGCCCACATAAGAACTCTCCAGAAAGGCAAGGGAGGCAACTGCGCCCTGAGAAGCCATCACTGTGTTAGTCTGGATGGCCCCCACCTCTCTGAGGCTCCTGTTCGCAGAGCCAGTGTGGGAGCTGCAGACGATGTCTGCGGAGTGCCTCACAGGCTGCGGGGGGCGCCGTGAATTGTCTGCTGCCTTCACACACGTAAACCTCAGCCGACTCCACACCCAACCCACACTCTGGTTCATTGGTTTTTGAACCTTTATGACCCTACTTCAGTAAAACAAACACATCACATATACAACTAAAACTGCAGCTTCATAAAACAGTACCTTCTCTTAGATACATGAAACATATTCCAATACTTCTACCTGATGCCCTTGTTCAAAAGAAATCCTTGTTGCAACCCACTACACTGACTGCACACCTCATTAAGCTGCAGCCCCGTTTGAATACCGCCGTGCTACTGGGTCTTCCTCAGCCGTCTGCCCCCAATCCCGCAATGCTCTTCACAACGTGTTACCTGGGTCTTCCACCATTATCATGCAGGGTTGGCGCTATATTTCATTTGCTGCTCTAATTCCAAATTTGTTTTAAGATTTTATTTTTAAGTCATCTCTACCCCCAACGTGGGGCTCGAACTCACAACCCTGAGACCAAGAGTCATGTGCTCTACTGACTGAGCTGGCTGGATGCCCCTCATTTGTTCCTCCAATTGTAAGAGTTTATTTCTATATGGCACTTCCTGTGGTTTGGTGCCACGTTTATAACTCCCACTGTGTCATCCCCAGAGATGAGGTCAACCAGAATTCAGGCTTAAATCTAAAAGGACCCCCTCCCTTGAGGCTGTACAGTGTCTTTACACTGGATTTATTTTGCAGGGGGAGGTCCGGCACTCCCAGGGCCAGGTACTGTAACCCAGCACTAAGTGAGCAATCCGACTCGGGCTGGATTTATTTTTTTCTACGTGCTGGGATTTTGCATCAAGGACACACATTTCACATTTGACTGTTTTCTGCGAGTCTCAGAAGCACTAGCCTGGGAGGCAGGAGACCAGGGAGGGCTCCGGTCCCCGTGCTGTCCCTTGCTCTGTAACCAAAGGGAAAGCATTTGAGCAAACAGAGGCCCACAGACAAATGAAGAGCCCTTCACGCGGGCTCCTTTACCTGTATCGGCTTCCGAGCCTAGCCCATCGGCTCATTGTTGCCCCCTCAGCCATGATGCCAGGTAAGGCTGCAGGTTGGCTCGGTCGAGAAACAGAAACTACACATGAGGCGACAGGTTTTTGAAGCTAAGCAATCATGTGTATGTGGCAAACATGGGCCCCTCGCACTGGCGAATTTCACCCATACAAAAGTGGCTCACCATTCCTGCAGCTCAGGAGAAGGGATCAAGCCTGCTGACTCCTTGGAGGAACCTTCCACCCGCCCCTGCCACCAGTTACTGTCATCTTTGTTGATTATCTTGATGATGTCCCCAGTAACAAACTTCAGTCCCGCCTCCTTGCAAGGGATCAGATGGTCCTTTTTGGGATCATAGTCAAACTGTGCTCTCATGAACATCTGAAAAATAAGGCAAAGGTGCTGGTGTCGGGATTCAGGTCGAAAGTTCTGCTATAAGTAAATAGGCTCAGGATTGAGAAGTGACTGAAACTGGGGCTGGACCTGATCCCTCCAACATGTTCGTGGTTACTGGGGCTGATTGTCCGTCTGTCTTGGAGAACAAAGGAGCTACTAGCGGAAAGGCATGTTTCCTTGGGAAATCTTTTCACGGTATGTTAACTAAACAATATGAATGTGCCAAAGGTCTTAAAATGTGGATACCCCTTGTCTCCACAATCCCCTTCTTTGCACAAGTTGTCACTTACGATGTCTGGAAAAGTATGTTCACCATAGCATTATTTACAAGACAGAAATATTGGAATCAAGCTAATTTTCCAAGAATGAGGAATCAGTTAAGTATGCTCATTTGCTGAATACATCATTCCCAGGCCAACTATAAAAATCAATGTGTAGAAGATAGGTAGACATCCTAGAAATGTTTAAAAGGTTCTTTTTTTTTTTTTTAATATTTTATT